ACTAGTCACTAATCACTTCGGACTTCGCCCGCATGCAATGTGTAGAGAACTTCTAAGATCTATCTCCAAAGCAAACTGCCTCAGTACTGTAGTACGCTAAAATTACAAACATTCGACACAGAACAGCCTTCACAAAACTCCGGATAAGTTCACACAAACTCCACATAGAAAAAGGCAGACACAACCGCATTCCTCTAGAGCAAAGGATTTGCCAATTTTGCGATTTAAATAAGATTGAGGATGAGTATCATTTCGTAGTCAATTGTACGTTATATAGTAATGAGAGAGATTCCCTATATTCTTATATAATAGATAAGTTCCCCAGCTTTGCACATTTAAATGAATCAGAAAAATTCCTATTTTTTATGAAACTTGACAAACCATGTATCACTAATTCTATATGCTCGTACATCTATAACTGTGTCAAGAAGCGAGAAGTCGAACAATGTAAATAGTAGATCACATTAGTATGTATAGTTTAAGTATCATTGCTGTATCCATTTCCTTGTCTATCCTTGACCTGTACTAGGCTTGTTAGAGCACAAACGTACAATAAAGGTCTTTCATTCATTCATATAACTTAAGGTACCGACTATATATGTGGTCACTCCAACGAAACAGCTGTACACTACTTCCTACACTGCCCACTGTACACTGACGAACGCATTGACATGTTATCATCTCTAACTAACATCCTGCCATTTGACACAAACAACGTCACCGACAACACCTTATGTACAACCACCCTCAAGGGAAACCCCTCATTGTCGTTTGTCAACAACTGTAAAATATTTGATGTGGTTTTCAACTTTATTTTGCAGACAGGGCGTTTTGTTTGATTTAGTTGATTGACTTTGATTTGTACACCAGCTCATTATATACCTTTGTCATTTCTTCTTCTTCTTATTATTATTACTTTGTTTTATTGTTTCCTTTTATGTGTGAGGAGAGGGCTGAGATAAGTTTACCGTTAAATAAGGTACCGCTTGACTCGCACGACAACCTGCTAGAGTTGCCCACCACTGTGTCCTGTAAGTTTCCATGTTGCTCAATAAAACAAATGGGTCCGTCTGTCTCGGTATTACCTAAATATGTGGGGTGAGGAAGAGGACATCTCAGCAGGAGCCATGGAAAAGCAGCACTTTTTGAAATGACACATGGAGGCAAATAAAAAGATACTGGTAGGTTAATGATCTCCCTGTGGATATCCTGGAGCTCTCTCTATAATCCAAGTAATTTGTCCGACTTGAAATCGGTGTGTGTAATATTATTTCCGCAGGCAGAAGGACAGAGAGAGAATACTGCTAAAGTGGGACTGACTCGACTGCCGGTTAGATTGCCGAAGAATGGTGAATGATTGATTTTGATTCTGATTAATTGAAATTGCAACAGTGCAATACACGCGGAACAAAAGCAACTGTTACTGGTGTTGTGTCCCGTACATAGATGAGAAATGAGAAATGTGTTTAACACATTTTATTAGACAGAAGAATATTATCCGTGTCTCGTTCAAGTAATCGAAACATTGTAACTGAGCTGTCAAGCCTACTACAGGAGACTGAAAGCATCACATATATTACAATGTATACACGCATTAAAAAGTAATGTATACATGCATTGAAAAGTAGGTATATGAGTTAAAGACCATGAACCGATCGCGAACTGTAAATAAGACCACTGTGGAAGCATAGCTTTTCAAATACCAGCTAAAGGATGACTTAATTATAAGTAAACCAAAACTGAAACTCCGCTGAAAATGCTATTGCCCACAAGTGACCAATGTCGTCTCGAAACGTCATCCCATTTCTTTTGAAGTAATATCAGTTGAAAGCTCAACAAGAGTTCATATGTACAAACTCAAAAGTACACTAGCTAGGAATAGGGTCAGAGGACAGTCCTGCAGTGTTTATATATAGAACTGTGAAGGACTGGAATTCCTTGTCACAAACAGTGGTTGAAGCTAGGACAGTTAATGAGTTTAAAAACCGACTGGATAGGAATTGGGCCAATATCATGTACATCTCCAGTATAAGCTAGAGAGAAGATTGCGACCCACAGGCTAAAAGCTTAAGCCTACCTGACACTCTGATGCATTAAGACCGCAGTTAGGGTGTACTGAGCACAGTGAAGGGTCAGGTATCTCACACCTCGCACATCCAGCCAGGAGGAGGTGTGAAGTAGGGAAGACTTTTTAGTCTTTTGCCCAGAAGTGACCAATGTTATCAGGAGACGACGGAGGTGGAATAAGACCTGACACGTGGATGCATTAAGACAGCAGGTAGGGTGTACTGAGCACGGTGAAGGGTCAGGTATCTCACACCTCGCACATCCAGCCAGGAGGAGGTGTGGAGTAGGGAAGACTTTTAGACTTTTGCCCAGAAGTGACCAATGCTATCAGGAGACGACGGAGGTGGAATAAGACCTGTCACGTGGATGCATTAAGACAGCAGGTAGAGTGTACTGAGCACAGTGAAGGGTTAGGTATCTCACACCTCGCACATCCAGCCAGGCGGAGGTGTAAAGTAGGGAAGACTTTTAGTCTAATGTCGGCGTGACGTCTTGCCTGGTTAACATTTCAGCTCTACGGGCCGTTCCTACAACCTTACTAAGTACAGGTCTCACAGCCTTTCTGACTACTGCCGTCCAGAGAGAACTAATTGAAACCAACCCCGTAAAAATTCCTCGGTGTGTTGTAATGATCCCGGGCGGGCGGGCAACACTCCTACTGCCGTAAAGATACCGCGGAGCTCCCGACGGTATGATTACCTAGTCTCTACGCTGGCTATACAGGAGAATATTTGCCAGGGGAGTTTGGCTGCCTTGTAGGTTTGACTAGTAGCGCAGTTAGGAGGGAAAGAAACTACCTCCCCGCTGCCGGACTCCCTTGGCCAATTTTACTATCTTTTTGCCGAATTCTACGATCCGTTTCCCGTAGACAGGGCTGGTGGAGGCTAATGGATACAAGGCTGTGCCTGGTCTGTTCAGTTATTCCGGCGCCAACAGTTTCCTCTGCAGACCATCATCGCTCACTGCTTACCTCACCCACGCACGGTGGTGTCAACCTGCCACCTGCCACTCGACCCACAGGGACCTGGACGTACACTGCCTCCATCACAGGCGAGCCAATTTAGAAATAGTCCGACTAGAAGTACTGTTTCATCAGATCAAACATTTATAACTTCGTCGCTGGAGAATTGGTTTTAATCAGAAAACAAAACTTTCGAGCTTGCTCTAGATTACAGCCCAGTGTAGAATATTGTCAGCTCATCCCAAGAGAACGTACATTACATTTCTTACATCTCAGATGTGTCGTATTAGAAGCGCTGCAACCAAAGGTACTTTTTTATCATCTATATTATTTTTTTATATATTCCAACATGTAGTCAAAAGACGCGGTGACGGCACACTCATGTTTTTTTCAACTGATATTAATGCCGCCACCAACACAGGGGACAATACAATACTCATTTTCACCTGAGCGAAGTGAGGAAAGACGCGTTAAGTGACTTTCTCAAGGGCACAAGATCGGTGGCATGTCAGGACTCGAACCCGGGACCTCTTGGTTCCGAGTCGAGCACTCTGCCGCTGCGCCACACGACCCCACTATCATCTATATTGTGGACACTGTAGAATAAAAAGAAAAGACAATCGCTTTTTTAAGACGAAAAGCTTTTCAAAACATTTCAACTCACAGTGGCAATGAAACTCAGAAGTATGGATATTGCATACGGAGAGACGTCCTTTGGTAATCCAGACAAACGTTTTACCAGACAATAGAGCCTCCCGTAGAGCATTAGCTCAGCCAGGGGGAACGCGCCTGGCTCAGACTTCTTCAATCAAACACGCACCATATCACTAGAAATGCTGAGACTACAAGACTTAATCTTAGGGCAGGTCTGTATCTGTATAGCTGGTATAACCGCCCTTCGGCGTAACACACCAGCTTCTGTATCTGTATAGCTGGTATAACCGCCCTTCAGTGTAACACACCAGCTTCTGTATCTGTCTAGCCGATATAGCCGCCCTTCAGTGTAACACACCAGCTTCTGTATCTGTATAGCCAGTATAACTGCCCTTCGAGATAACACACCAGCTTCTGTATCTGTATAGCCGGTATAGCCGCCCTTCGGCGTAACGCACCAGCTTCGCAGGCACGCGGCGCGGCGGCAGCTGACTACATTACACCGATCGACTTGTTGACGTAACCCTTGAACATCTAATTCTAGACATTGTTTAAAGCTATCTAATGACAATTCCCCTATTGTACTTGGCGACAGCGAGTTCCACTCTGCGATAGTGGTGAACTGGTTATACTGATCAATGGGGATTAACAAACACACACACGCACACATTTTGAGCTGACTTCGATAATGGTTCTCATAACATATGGGTATTGCTGATGGAGAAAAGCGCTTCCGAAATCTAGATGGACGTTTTGCCAGGCAGTAGAGCCCAGCGTATAGCGTTACTCAGCAGCCACGGAGAACGGTCCTCACGCCTCCTCAATCACAGGCGCACTACACAGTGCCAGACGCTCGTTTTAATCAGATCAAGCGCCTAAAACGCCGTGGTACACTTTTTTCACATGAGATCTAACAAAAAAAAGAGTTTGAGCAGATTCTGTTGCATGTTGGTTCGTCAAATGGTTTAAGACTGATCAACTAAATTTGGGTGTTAACCGTACTCATGGCTGTCACTTTTTAACTTCCCAGTGTTTTTTTAGTGTCTTAAATGCCTAACAATTTAGACTTTGAGTCTGCAAGAAGAGTATATATAGCAAAACGTTGAACTTTATCCCAGCACACAATTTACAGAGAGATCAAATTTTCAGTGACGACGTCGCCTTCATCAGGATAATCAATGACCAATCATTTCACTTCCATGATAGATATGCTTTCATGTTTCCAGTTTGAATCGCCCCCCGTTGCAGTGCATGTCAAGGCCCTGCTTGCTCGTAGTGACCGGTGAAAAGTGTTTTCAAATCCCAGATTAAGTATTCGTCAGAATGTGAAGTCCAAGCACCCCTGCGCGGAGTAGGAAAATCCCACCACTACATCATGCTTCTGCCGGAAGCCCTCCTCCAGGTCTCCAGCATCTTATAGGAGAAAGATAATCGTCTAGAGAACTCGCCTGTTCACTTACCAGAAAATAGTTTCCCACCAAAAGGTCGAAACGCAATCATGGTGGTAAGATTGTTGGCCAGGAAATTACAAAACCAGTGAGAAGGAAAGTAAAGAAAGATAGAAGAGAGTGCCGTTAGTCCGGATGAGATAAAACACCATAGACGGGAAACCAGATTAGAACCGCCGTTTTAATGGGCTTTTCCGAAGGTTAATGACTCACATGAGGGACCAGGGGAAGTTTACCATCAGTTACGGCTTGGTGGGACGGCGATGGGCACGATTTACTTACCTGTATTAGTTTGTTTGTCTTACATTCCTGGCAAGTAACTTAGTCTACTTTCTATTCAGTAGTCTTAAAACATGTTTTGTATAGGTAAAACTGCTCACTGTACACTTCATAAGTACAGTTTAGCGTAATGCTGAACTGGACGTACATGTAGAGTCGAAATATTTTCTAGCCAGTACTTATATATAATAACACTCTGTCAGACACAGTAAGCGTTGACCATGTATGTATGTAGCAATATGACTCATACCAAATAGCAACTTTATCATTTGCCATACATTGTACCCGTGACAATCGTTGTGCAATAAACTTTGACTCTCTCTTGACTCTTTAAGCGTAACGTGCCAATTTGGTGAAGTAGGTACAACCTGCGTAAGACCCATCTCTTAGGTCCGATTCACTCACTAAAAGGGCATTGCCGAAAAATATCGAGCATTGGACAGCTACAACCGGAGGCCATGTTCTGGAGAACAGGCAATTTCCTGACTCATTCCCAGCTACATGCTTCATGACCGGTGACACTTTTCTGAGGACAGTCTTGAAAGCTTTTATTACTCCAAGCACGAAGCAAAGATGGTGGTTGAACGTGCCTCTGGACCAAGACGTCGTGAGTTCTAATCCCAACGTGCATGTCACAGGATCAAAAAGAGGATTACAGTCCTCAGGACGCTACGTTAGAGAGCTAGGGGAATTTCCCCGGTACAATGAATCAATATTACTCTATAGCGTCTGCCCTCTCTGTCGCAATCAGTGTAAGAGTAGATCAACTTTCCATGAAGTTCATTTGATCTAAACTAACTCGAGATTGCTATTACTTTCAATCAACTGAACCTTTTCTTCACGATCTGCCAAAACCCTGGGTTCTGGGTTGCACATTGGATGCCAGGTTTTCCCACAGAATTTGCCACAAGACTTCGCGGCGTCGAATGACCGATTGGCTAAGGGACTGCCATCGCATTTTTGCAACAAACCCAAGCCAAAACTTTGCCAATTTAGGTAACTTTTTCATCAGTCCATTTACAGACGGCGACACGCAATCCCGCCATCCCGCCAGAGGCACGCCCGTCAGAGTCAGGATCAAAGAACCGGTTTTGGCACCGGTGACACTCCCAGGAACCGGCGACGCCACCGTGTCCGTACTGTACACACGGGCCCTGCGCCGGGCCGCTAGACAGGAAATCGCGCTGCCCTCAGATCGCTACATCAGTCGGACTGTCCGGAAGCCTTTCATGTTATGTAAGAACACAAATTGTTTAAGACTGCTCATCTAAATTTGATTGTTAACCGTATTAATGGCTGTCAACCTTTAACTTGATAGCATTTTTTATAGTTGTAAATGCCTAAAAATTCAGACTTTGAGTCTGCAAGAACATGTATGAATATAGTATTAAAACGTTGAACTTAATTTCAACACACTATTTACAGACAGATCAAATTTTCAGTGACCACTGTCGCCTTCATCAGAATAATCAATGACCTATCACTTCAATTCCATAATAATATGTATGAATATACTTTCATGTCTCAAGTTTGAATCGCCCCCCGTTACAGTGCATGTCGAGGCCTTGCTTGCGAACTGGCGACGCCACCGTGTCCGTACTGGCCACACGGGCCCTGCGCCGGGCCGCTAGACAGGAAATCGCGCTGCCCTCAGATCGCTACATCAGCCCGGAAGCCTTTCATGTTCATGTCAAGCCTTTCAGTGAAAAGTAACCTACAGTAGGGGTTGCTGAAAGACAGAAGAAAAATGTCCAGACTATGTATGATGTACAAAATGACTAATAAAGTGATGGACGTCCCAATTACTAAGTACCAGCCCAGAAGAGAACAAGAAATAGCCATGCCTTCAAGTACCAGAGTTATCAACCAAGGATTGAGGTGTTCAAGAATTCATTCTTTCCTAGAACTATCGCAGAGTGGAACTCGCTGTCACCAAGTACAGGAGGGGCATTGTCACTAGACAGCTTTAAACAATGTCTAGAGTTTGATGTTCAAGGGTTAGGTGTAACAAGTCGATCGGTGTAATGTAGCCAGCCGCCGCAGCGCCGCGTGCCTGCGAAGCTGGTGTGTTACGCCGAAGGGCGGTTATACCGGCTATACAGATACAGATACAGAAATAAAGTTTGTACCTGTTCTCAGATCCTGTTCTCAGATGATCAATGATCTGTTTGAAATCTGTTCAAAAAGGCTATCTTCTCTTCTTTATACTCCTGCTGTATAGAATTTACTACATTCAATTTCTTTCTACGGTTTCTTTTAATGTGCACTATAAATTGAGCCCTCCCTTTTTAACCATTAAACATTTACCTACCAATAACTATTATGTGTATAACTCATATATGAAAAGCCCGGCAATAACTATACGTCATAATAGATGGTTACGATTAGCCATATCTACGAGATAAATCGGTTTGAGAACTTTTCTGTAATAGTTTAGACATAACTCTTTACTTCAATGGACACTGCGGAGTCTAGGCATCCGTCACCAGTGTTGAAAGGGATTTCCTGCTACTGATACACCAGACCTTCGCTTGACTTGTGGCCGGTGAAAGACTCCGCACTTTGCTCAGATGAAAAGCTCTCATCCCGAGAATCCCCAAGGGGCTTCGGCGCCAGATGTACGAGTAATATCATGATGTTGAGAGAAGATTCTGATTGAGGTGCCCGGTCTTCCCAGTGCCTGGTTTATGACTCTATAGTTCGGAGAATCGATTTTTTGCAGGCAATATGGCCAGAACCAACATTACCCCAATACAATCATCAGTAAAATATGTCAGGCATTAGGATGAGCCTTTTATCCTTTGTCATTTGGTAAGATTGCTGAAACAGCAGATTCTGCACAGTCGCCCGAAGTACGGCGTTTGTTCTTATCCTTGTCTAGGCAGTCATTGTTTCTGTACGTCTTTTCAACTATCTCTGTGACATTCTGTTCGATAAAAGAACCACTTCTTATTCTTTATTTTGAATGGCTTTCTGCAAAAAGATAGCTTTGTGGCGTTGATGCACTGGTGCATAGTAGTATCACATACCATACATTAAACCTAATTCATCTACTCAAGTATCATCTTCAGTAAAATATGTCTGGCAATAAGATGAGCCTTTTATCCTTTGTCATAAGGTAAGATTGTTGAAACAGCAGATTTTGCACAGTCGCCTGAAGTACGGAGTTTGTTCTTAATATCCTTGTCTAGGCAGTCATTGTTTCTGTACGTTCTTTTAATTATCTCTTTGACATTCTGTTCGATAAAAGAACCAACTACGTATTTTTTAATTTGAATGGCTTTCTGCAAAAAGATAGCTTTGTGGCGTTGATGCACTGGTGCATAGTAGTATCACATACTATACATCACACTAATACATTTACGCCAGTATTATCTTCAGTAAAATATGTCTGGCAATAAGATGTGCCTTTTATCCTTTGTCATTGGCAAAATATTGTTGAAACAGCAGATTGTGCACAGTCGCCTGAAGTACAGCCTTTGTTCTTATCCTTGTCTAGACATACATTGTTTCTGTACGTTCTTTCAATTATCTCTTTGACATTCTGTTCGATAAAAGAACCAACTACGTTATTTTTTTTAATTTG